CTCCAACCACCTCGTCACCCCCTCCCAAAGATTTGCTTGAAGAACGAGGACGGAAAGTGGTGGAAAGAGCTGTGATGAAAATTGAGAGGAGAGCTCGTGTTTCTTTAAAACATCGGCCTTTCTTTTTACCATGGTACTGTGCAGTGACAAACCAAGATTTGTTTAAGACTGAGAAAGATTTTCCCCACTGTCTTTATATGACAAGACTTTCGACCATCATCCCATATTTCCCCAAGGGGACTATCACCTGTGAACGAAAAAGCACTCTGGAGTCGAGGTTCGTCTGCATTTCATTTTCTGTCCCCACAAGCTCAGACAAAACATTTCTTTTGTGGTAATAGTACCTTTATCGATGGCGCATGGCATTAAATTGCTCTCTTTACCTTGAATTACGGTGGCTAACGAAGAGTGACCAGTGGACTCCCAAAAAAGCTGACCTCGGCAGAATGTCTTTTCTGGCCTCATGTGCATGGGAAGCATTTTGCTGTTTCCTGTACATTATTGAAAAAAAAAACAGTTGAGAAAACTCAGAGTTTCAATTTTTCCAATTTATGTGGCTTACTGAGAATGATGAGGCGAGGATATGTTTTGATTTTTTACAAAGTACTTAAGAGATATCTCCAGCTCTGCGCTAGACCCTCTTGTTTAAATACTTACTAAAAAGAAATAGAAAAAAGTCTAAAATGCAAATTATCAGCTCTTACCAGACGTTGAGCATTACTTACCCAGGATAACACAACAGACCATGATATGAAATCGCAGAACATGAGGAAACTTTCGGCTATTGAAAGCAAAGGGAAAAAAGAATTAAACCGAATCAGCAAGCCCAGAGACCAAACACTAGTGATCATTCTAATTAGAGTAATCAACGACCAATCAACCTTAATATCACAAGAAGCCAATAAGAAGATAAAGTAAATACACGCGTACCGCACGTGTTCAAGCGCGGGAAGACGCGAGTAATCAAGTTACTATTGGTTTTGACTTTGGCGCCAGTTTTCTGAACCAATCAAAAAGCAGTGTGAAGCAAAGCCGGTGCGATCCCAGTATATTTTCGAAAATCAAAAGAACTTGCTTTAACAGACACTTACAGGTTTTTTATACTGGCCCAAGTGATAAACGTGATAATTGTCGCAATGAGTGCCAACCACAGGCCAACCACTATCACCACAAAGTAAACCTTCTGCGTCAGAGGAGATTGTGTGGTCCAGGCGCACGGCGGTCGGCAGAGACCGGTTTCTTTATCAGGGAGTAGCGGTGAGTTGCACTGGAGCGGGAAATCTGTTTATGCGATAAAAGGAAACAGCCATTAAACTGAATTCATGTACTAAGAGGTTTAAAACCCTTCTTTAAAAACTTCTATTTACCTTTGTTTATTGTAACGTTTCTTGTCCTCTGTGAAAAATAATCAGAAGAATTCAATGTATATCCAATTTTTTGAGAGAAAGTTCTGTGGAACGATAAAAAAAAAAAAAACACATTCAAAATCAATCCATAGTAACCAAACGAAAGATTGATTTAACAAATGGTAACAAACAGAGAGTCAAAGAACGAGATAAGAAAGATGGATAGAAACCATTTATTTCTTAATTTCCATCAGCTGGGAAGTCGCACTCATTTGGGGCTGAGTGTAAAAGGAAAACCTTCAGATTCCTCTAAAAATACGAGTCTTTGGTGTGTTACCAACGTGGGCAGTTTCTCTCTGAAAGGAGACCGCTTCACAAGTATACCGTAAATAGACTTGATCTAAGACTTTTAATAAAAACACCCTTTTTCTTCTGTCCTTCCGGGAAGCTCTGCCAACATATTTTCGCTTGGTCATAAATGCATCCTTCTGTAAATATCCTGTCCAATGTAAATAATCGTTGCCAATGTAAACATTTGTCGAAAAAAGGAAAAATCTTTACTTTGCAGGGCGGTTCTGTTTGCCTTGCCGCTAAACCATGGGCTATGGACACGAAAATTAAAATTCCACACGAAAGATTATAGAAATTAATCCTCGTATTAAAGTTTGCTTTACATATTAGTGTTGTCGCATTTTAAGATTAAGTCGCATTGCATACTGAGTTAAAAAATTTATATGCACCATGTTGTTTTGGGCAAAGAAAATAATGGTGTTTGCTGGGTGGTTTTTGTCATGAGCGTTACGTGGAGCTGAAGTCGATTTTGTAGAGAAATACACATACTTCACAGAACACCAACGCAACTAGTGCGATAAAGATCACGCTAACTGGTTTATAAAAGACGTCCTCTCCTTTTTGACATTTCAGGGGCGTTCCTTGGCTTGAAGATAGTCTCACACCGTAATAATGTCATGCATTGACAAGAAGGATATCCCTTCCATTTTCGTTAAAAACTCCGGATAAAGTTATTTCATTGTCGTAACATTTTTGACCTTTGTGACTTTCTAGATGCATCTAGAATAAAATCTAGCAGACAAGAGGCGTTTGGTGACGCTCTTGATTAACGAGATCATGATGTTATCTGTGTCAAACTGTGCATCATAGGTAAAGCAATGTTTGCCAAAGTCACGTTCACTCACGACGTAACACCACATACTGAGAGTAACATTATTTGTGAAGGACCGGGAACAAAAGTTCAGTCACAAATTTCGTCACAACTTCAAAGATTAAAACGTGGTTCAAACGTTTAAAACTTCTTTAGTTCGACCATTACCATCGCTAAGATTTTTCATTCCTGTATGAATTTTTAGTAATTTCACTAAAATGTAAGTTTAATCAGGGGATATTTTTGTTCTGTTTTCCACACTATTAAAGAGCATTTAACCGATTCTTTTAGCCTATTCCACATGTTAGTGATACATTTTCTTAAAATCTTCAAAAGGCAATAGAAATCTTCCCATGCTATTTATTTGCGCCTCCTACATTTGTCCGGTTTAGGAATGAGTCAGACAAAGAAAACTCCTTCAGAATTTCCTTCTGACTGATACTTGAAATCTTCCCACCGTAAACTGTGAAAAATCAATTAGCTTATGGTGTTTATCCTTTGAAGAGGAAGCTTTTAAAAACTGAAAATTTAAACTGGAATTTTTTCCCCAAAAACGATTAAATAATTACGTCAGTCATCACCCAAATGAGAACATTTTCGCCACATTTCTCGCTCATGTTGTCAGTTTTCACACAAGAAACAACGGTTAGGTTTGATTAAATCTAAGAGAAAGAGTAGAAATCCTAGTATAGGCCACTAAGGTTGTTTCCTAAGTATTAGCAGTTCCACCTTAGTCCTTCGCAAATATGAGTTTTCAAGGGGATCATTCATTTTCATACCCAAATGAAAACATTTACGTTTCTACATCATACTTTGCCAAGGAGGTGTTATAAGCGTGCTATAAACAAATCACAAGAAAACCCTCTCCGGTAAATAGTAGTTCTTTCCAGGCAAGGAACTACTGATAGAGAACATCAAACTCCTTTGAGGAGAGTTTACGGTCGTAGTTATCGGCCATTATCAGAACATCCATTAAAGTCATACTTTGGATTTGAGAGTTTGTAGTTTTTTTTTAGGCTCAACAAGGTGGGAAGAAATAAAATCGACGAATCATTAAAAGAAGCAGGTTTTGCCTGCTCCTGTTCCATCGATTGGTTTGGTGAAAACTGAAAAATAAAGATGATTTACTTACCCATTGAGTTTTGTGTGTGGAGGATGATCCGGCTGGAAAATGTAAAATAATGTTGGCAATGTCACAGTCGTTACAAGCACAAAGTTTACGATATAGAACACCACTATACTTTCAGACACTTTGAACGATTTACAGCACATTCGCTCGGCCGATGACTTAGATTCCATAATTACTGGCGCAGTTGTTACCACCGGGTCCCTTATATTCACGTTATTCCTATTCAGCAAAAAGCGAAGATAAACTTGTAGCAAAGGTCAAGTATAGATACACGTAACATAAATCAATGAAAGTCGACCCCATTGTGGTCATGAGGCAACGTAATTCAACGGTGTATTTTGATGACATGTTGACACAATGCAGAACCGACTTTGCTTTTATTAGGGACATCAGCTCTGACAGGGGACAGAAAAATTGCGTCAATGAAGAAAATTATTTTTATTGTAATAAACAAGTGAAATACGGTAAAGATAATTTTCGATTGCTTATGATAATTAGTTTAGCTCAAGAATACAACAACAAAAAGAACGAAAAATTTATTATCATTACAGAGATACATGTAGTTGATACCTGACTTCCGGCTAAAGGTTCTTCTTTTAATTAATTAAAGTTAATAGCTGATTTGGTGACTCACGCAATTCTTTAGTTCTCTAGCAAGACAAATCCATATCACCTATTTTGATATTCCCAGTTAGTTAATCCGTTCATACCTACATCTTAAGCTCGATACAAATGTTTTCGTAACTTTATCAGAAAAATGCAAATCGTCTTGGCACGCAAACAACGCTTAGTTAGCATTTTGTTACGGCTTGTCACCGAACGCCCGCTTAGACGATAAGTACACATCCTATCTAAACTTAGAAACGATGATGTAAGCATGATACAACACCCGGATGTCGGGATAAGCGCCGCGATCACGTACCCCTTGTGTATACGCGTAAAAGTTGTGATGTCTTGCGGACTGACTGTTCCAGCATGTAAAATATCTTGATTTGCGACAGGAGTCGGGGTAGATTTTTCTCGAAATTTCTTCGTGAAAAGTATCAATTAATATTTTTAAAATGGTTTTTGAATGACTCAGTTTCCTGTTTACGCACTTTAGTTAATTCCGTCGGTAGCATTTGGATTGCAGCCGCCGTATATACAAACATTGTTGGCATTTTTGAAAAACAAAAGAATTTCTCTTCTCTAAATAAACAGTAAACGATACAAAGAAAAAAAAAATTCTAAAACAAACAAATAAGTGAAAGTGCTTTTGTGCTGCTAATGAGGACGGATTTTCTGCAATTTTCTAATTTCCGAAAACGCTTTGATGGTCGAACCGGTTTGCACGAAAACAGCTTAAAAAAGCATCCCAGTCATGAAACAGCATTTTTCAAATTTTTTGTTCTTCTGATGTTTGCTTATCAGTTGGCCTATGATAAAAAATTGAGGATTCTGTTTGTACATCTAAGACAAAACTAAGAATCATGTAAAAAGCGAGTGATACAAAGACCACCGGCCCTGACTACCCCTGTGCTGCATGTTAAAATATCGTATTCTTCTTAATAACCTCCTCATTTCAGGGTCATGATCGATGTTCTACAGAGATGTCTTCGAACACACACACACACACTTCCCATGGCAATTTCGACTTTGCTTATTTCTTTTCCTGCTTGTGGGCAGAAAACATACGCGCACACACGCAATGACTGTCCATGGCAACTTCGCTTTTTATTGTCAGCCCGCTCTCTACGATACAACCTTTATGAGGTCAACTTTGATGTCATTCCTTGCATATGTGACTTTTTTACCATTGCATCTACATACAGCCCTTGAAACAAAAATGAACACTGTAATGAATCTTTCCAAGTCCATCAATTCTTCCCCATGACTTAAATAATCGCAAAACTAATGAAACTAGCTCGTATTTAATTTTGAAAAAATGCAAGTCTCTTCTTATTCGCGTCTGCTGCGAACAACATTGCTCGGCGTAAGGTAAAAATAGGCTTTAACTGAAAGCCACTTGGCCATTATGGGAATCACCGAGCAAACTATTTACACTCTTGGAAAAAAAAAGTTCTTCCTTTCCTTGTATACCCCAAACTTTTCACTTATTTCGATACAGGGAGCTGAAGCGTGTTCTTTCTTAATCAGAATGCTTTGATTTTGCACAAATCGTTCTAGTGTGAGAACCTCTCTTTCACTTCAAGACAGAGCCAGCGAAACAAAGGTAGGCCAAATCGATACTCACGGTGAGTAGAGTACGTGCAGGGGGAAAAGCCTGTATTACACCAACCTATAACACACAGCTAACTCGTCCAGTGCGCAAATAATAAGAATTAACAAATCGAATTAGCCCTTTGCTGGTCCAGTATTTTCCGAGTATTGAACTAGCAAATACTGCGAATCATCCCACGCGAAGGAGCACGATACAAAGCAATGATGCGAGGAGTCTAGCGTGACATGACATGTATAAGAGTGTATTTACAGTGTTACATCCTACCCCCATCCCCTTCATGGGCAGTTAATTGGCAGTCAAGTTTCTATAGTCCCCTATTTATACTCTTTTGGCGACGACTGATTCCCCTCCATATACCTCTTGGAAACCATGTGATCTCCTTTAAGTCCTCACCCCTTCCCCTCCCTGGAAAAAATCGACGACTAGTCCTTAGATCTTTCTTGTGGACCAACTAAGTAAACTTACATGAAGCACTTCAATTGTTATTCGTTTTTTTGGTCCTCAATGAGTCACTTACCCAAAGATGCACAACATCAGAAGGATAACTGCTACTTGCTTCATTTTTGCTCCTGGAAGTGAGTTTGCTGTGGGTAATGAAAGAAGAAGGATGTCATTTAACCAGCAATTATTGACTTTTTATTGTCGCATAGCGTTGGGAGGTTTATTGTTCAGCAATGTAAGAGTTGTGTAGATAGGGGCAACTTCTCCAAATAAAACCGAAATGTACTTCTGGTATTGATATAAGAATAGCTTATTTTTCAACCTTATTGAATAGATCTCCAAGGTTTATCCTTACATTGAAAAAGTCGACTTAAAGGGCGACGAAGAATCGTTATTGAAACTAACTAGTAAAAGAGGCTGGAATGCTTCTCTTTTGACAAGAGCAGGAGTCATGTCATGTCAATAATTTTAGTAAAAGGGTCCACACGTGCTGCCCTACCCTGTCTCGCCCTTGTCTTGTCCCAATTTCTTTTCGCCCCCGAGAGAAAAACAAACTCTCAACATTTCTAAACAAAACATTAAACAATTGTCTGCGAAGGATCGAAAACTAAATTGAGCGTGGCTTTTGCGTCTTCTAAGTTCTGAAAAGAACTGTTTCTACCACGCACCCGTTTTCTCCTCCCTAATGGACAGGCTATTTAGCGGGCTTGGCTTTCCGAATTCCCCGACATAACATAAAGAGTCCTTTAAAGAAAACTCACAGTTCTGGGCTTGAGAAAATGCTGTAATGTTGGCGAGGTAAAAGGACTTTGATGGATTTTTCACTAAATCTATCTTAGGCCAAAGGCACAGGTTAAATCTGTCTGGCTCGCGGTCAAGAACAGAGAGACTCTCTGAGTAAAGATCAACCTTTTAAAAGCTGAACGCATAAAGCCCGCTCCCTCAGTGGGATTGACTGAAAGAGAGTTCATTATCGCAGCAGCCTCCTTTGAAAGGATTAAGTGCTTTCTGATCTTTCAGTGTTGCACCGACTCCAAATCTTTGATTATAAACTTGTGTGTCTAGTATGGGAAACTTGGAAATAGCCTCAGAACTATGACAGTTCGTATACCAATCACTGTAATTTTTTGAAATGACCGCGTATTACTTTAAGAACATAACAAAGGAACTTAAGTTCATTAAATGATGTCCTTTAAATAATAAATAAACAACATTAACAAAAGACCTGGACTAAATTCCATTTAAGTTTTCTCCCACTCTATTTTGGCTTTTAATTTTCGCATAAACCTAATCCACCTGCCCCACCGGGACCTAAGAACAAAGAATATATATTATATGATGATTTAGACTTTGCAAAAAACGCGGGAGAAGACGCGACATGGAAATTGATCAGTGAATGGTTTCAGCCTTATTTAAGAAATTGAAACCAAAAAGAATTTAAACAATACTGATGTGAGAATTTATCAGTTGTTTTTCCATTGCCTTATTTTGTTTTATTTAGTTTATGTTGCTTCTTCATCTTGCATCTTGCAGCTGTTAATTAATATTTAGACAACAATTTGCATCCACAATGCCAACTTGTCCCGCCAGGACCAAAAACAAAGAATATAAATTATAAAATAATTCAGACTTTACGCGGAAAACGCGGGAAAACACACGACATGAAAATTAATCAATGATGGGCAAAAAATCAGCTGTTAATTAATAACTAGACAACAGTTTACATTGACAATACCAAAGTTCCAATTAACATTTGTAAGTTGGCTCCTCATTTCTTCACATGCACTAAAGGATCTGGCAAAAATTTTCTCTTCGTTCAACAAATGAACATTGTGATACGAATAATTATAGACCAATAGCACTATAACCAGAAATCATGGAATACATCTTGATAAACTGAACTTAGTGGTATTTGAAATGTGAAGAATTACTTTCCGATCACTCCTAAGAGCAACACGAGTAAAAAAGAAAACAGAAACACAATGAAAGACTCATGTTCTTAAAATCGTATTGGTGTTTGTTTTGTTCTTAGCCCAAGGTCTCTGAATCTAATCATTTTAAGACCACAGAGAATGAGGCTGGAAAAAGGACAAAATAATAAAATTTTCCTTGATATTTAGGGAAAATCTTTAGTCATTATGTGCACTCAAATAATGAATTACATACAACAGGTCTAAAGTGTTTTTCATCATGCATTGCAGTGAAGAGATGAAATTAAGAGATCCTTGCAGCTAAGAACACTACTGAAACGAGTAGTTGAAAATAGGACCTGAAAAAAAATTCAGGCCCTTAGGGGATTTGAACCCATGACCTCTGCGATATTGGTGCATCGCTCTACCAACTGAGCTAACAAGCCAACTGGGAGCTGGTCTATGTGTTGGGTCCAAATAAACAATCCAAGAAATGAATGATGATTTTACATATATGAAATTCATATATTTGCACTGCAGTGAAGAGATGAAATTAAGAGACCCTCGCAGTTAAGAACACTACTGAAACTAGTAGTTGAAAATAGGACCTGAAAAAAAATTCAGGCCCTTAGGGGATTTGAACCCATGACCTCTGCGATATCAGTGCAGCGCTCTACCAACTGAGCTAACAAGCCAACTGGGAGCTGGTCTAGGTGTTGGGTCCAAATAAACAATCCAAGTAATGAATGGTGATTTTAGATATATGAAATTCATATATTTGCACTGCAGTGAAGAGATGAAATTAAGAGATCCTCACAGCTAAGAACACTACTGAAACAAGTCGCTGAAAATAGGACCTGTAAAAAATTCAGGCCCATACAGGATTTGAACCCATGACCTCTGCAATACCAGTGCAGCACTCTAGCAACTGAGCTAACAAGCCAACTGGGAGCTGGTCAGTGTGTTGGGTCCAAATAAACCATCCAAGTAATGAATGATGATTTTAGATATATGAAATTCATATATTTGCACTGCAGTGAAGAGATGAAATTAAGAGATCCTTGCAGCTAAGAACACTACTGAAACAAGTAGCTGAAAATAGGACCTGAAAAAAATTCAGGCCTGTATGGGATACGTACAAAAAGCATCTCCTCTTCTTTTTCATTGGCCAAAGGTATATCAAATAGCCCCCAAATACATGCCCCACATAGAATGGTTCATTTCTGTAATCATGTCATGGTGCAGTTGTGATTGAATCAGGAGGAAATATTTATCAGACTTATCAAACAAACAAAATGTCTCAATAAGCATAATTTTCATTGCATATCTCATACACTTTGGTCTAAATTTGGGGAAATGTGGAAAAAATCTTGACAATTAATAATGAAAATATGATATGTTTAGATCATTATTATTTAACAAAATTCAACAAATTGCATGGTTGAGATAATTTTATAAAACAGGCAGAGCAAAACGTGTTATCACTAAGAAAATTTTATGACCAAGATAAATACAAACTCCTTCACTTTCTACATACCAGATATGTAAATTTTGTGTAAACTTAAACATTAATACCAAAAGACTGTGATGATAAATATTCCCTTGATTTACTGTCAAATACTGATAACCAGCTAAACTGGAATGCAACTGAAGGACAACCCTTCTGTAATACAACCTACCAGGATATATAAATTTTTCATCCCAGTACAGATTTGGATTCAGGTAAAAAAACTATTTTTTCTTTCCTTTAAATGTTTTCTGTTTCTTTGGTTTGCAGTATTTTGCTTCCAGCCCAGCTATCATGTCATCCATGGCCCCTTGCCGGTCTTTCTGCCGTTTCATAACCAGTTGTCTCAGACCATCATCAGTTTTGTCATTTAAGCCAAGCTCTTTGGCCATCTCCTCTGCTTCTGCTGCCTCTTTCTGAGCCTGTAAATAGCAAATTAAGTCTTTAAAATCATTGATCATAATCTTCAAAAACTTAGGCATTCAGCTATGTAAAAGCTTGACCACAAAAAAAAGGGAAGAGACTGCAGAAGGAGAATCTCTTCCCTCCTTCCTATTGTGTTACACCTTTGACCTCCACCTACTGTTTCCTATTATGAAACACTGCAGATGAATGGTTGACAAATGTTTGCATTTTTATTCTCCTTCATGTGCTTTCCTCTCCTGTGCTGACCATGATTCTCCCATGCTCCTGTCCCTTTCAGTCTGTAAGAAAGGTACCTTCCAAACCTTCCTGTTTATAAGTTTTCTAGAGCCTAAGAGGTTGGCACTACAAGATTAATTATAAATTAATACCATGATTCTACAGATTATCTGAGGGAACATACTGTAAACTTGTCCAAGGCACAAAGATGACTAAGGTTTTGACAACAACTTTTAATTAAATGTTATAGCTTTCCAGACAGTTTTGATTGTTTATATTTTACCCTTCAGTTCTGTCTTGTGCTAAGGTAAAACCCATCAAAATGTTAGCTCGAATATATGCTTTATTTCAAGAGAAATCAAGGGCAAGTTAAACTTTTAATTCTGGATTATCACTTGTGGCTTTTCATACAACTGGGCCTTGGGAAAAAAGAAGATTAAACAAACATGACGTGACAATAGGACACAACCCTATACAGAAAAACCAGTTTCAGCCCTCTCTGAACAAAGTAGAGTTTACTGAGGGTGATCCCCATTTCTACAAATGCAAGGTGAAGAGGCAATCCATATAAGCAATCAGCCTAATGATATCAAGAAGGACAGTAGAATAGAATTCTCAGAAGCCCGATTGTCAATGATCATGAGACACAACAGCAGAAGGACCTGTGCAGCAGCAAACTGCTAAGGGAAACTTTAGAAGATATACCAACCACAGCCGTGGAACTCCAACGGTTTATACATGACACATGCTCAATCCACCTCATTGCCTGAAGAAGACTAGCAGTATGCTGTTGAAACATCATGATCCATGACTGAAGTGACCAGGTTGTAAGGCAAACAATTATACTTTTCTTTTGAAAGTGTTATTCACCATAATGACAAACCATAACCTGTTTTGGGAATTCAATCGTGGGACTAACCCACTGTAAGATCCTGCCCACTTAATACAGTGAAAAAAAAGAAATATCTTAAGAAGTCCTTATCTGCACTATCAGGTTATCTACATGTATATAGCTCTATCAAAACAAGCAATTATTTTTGTGCTGTAACTTTGATTAGCTTGTGAAGATGAGAACAATTAGATTGAGAAAAAGGGTCATGAGGCAAATATTTTCACTGTTAGGGTTGCGTGTTTGTTTCGATTTGACAAATTAAAGTTGCCCCACTTGGCCTGTGCATACGTTTCCAGCAAAATACTCTATCTATCCAAAGTCATAACCAGCACACAGAGTTTGAACTGTTGCCAAATTCTTTACAAATGCTTGCTAACATCTACGCGACCAAATTAATTTGCCGCATAAATGTTGTGAAATAAAAATTGCTCATGCAGATAAGGCTTCTTTCAAATAATTTACATTAGTAACAAAACTTTAATACAGTGTCACTCAATCATAAACTAAAACGAAATCCGACGTACATCTGAAATATTCTTTTGTTCTCCACCACCTCTACGAGCTTGATGGAGGTATATCAGATGACTACATTATGATGGCATTTCCACAGAAGACTTAGCTATCCGTCTAAAATTTCTAATGGTCCTGTTTAGGAGACTATGGATATTTTCTAGGACAATAACATTTGATATAAAAGATCGACCAATACTTTTTACTAACTTTTTGCTTGCGCGCTTTCTTCTTCTTTTTATCCTCATTTGCAAAAGCTGGGAAAGTCGGTAGATCTTCCTTTGAAATCAAATCTTGAATAATTTTTCGGAATCTTTCACCATCGCCGATCGTGGAGCATAGCACATTTTCCAAGATAGCGTCCATATCACCTTCATAATCCAAGTACGCCGACCGGAGATCGTTCACTTCCTCTTCTGATCCTTTGTAATTTTTCTCAAACTCTCCAATATCTTCCATAGTGATTTTCTGAAACAGTAGTCTCCAGTAGGCATCCCAATCACGTTGTTGGACCACAACATCGTCGTCAACTTCCCCACTTTCATCGTACAACGCCCTCTTGTCTTGATCAGACAGAACTGTGTAAACTCTGCTCAAACATTGGAATTTTTCGGTGGCGCTCGCTTTCTCCGCTTCGGGAACCCTATCAGGATGAACTTCTAACGATTTTTTACGATAAGCTCGCTTTATCTCCGACTCAGAAGCTGATTTAGTTAGCCTTAGTGCTTCGTACAAATCTTTCGTACCTAACAGCTTTTCGAGAGTTTCAAAGAAAGACATTTCGCTTTGTGTAATCACTAACTTAAAGTGGCGAGGGAAATATGGCTGCCGCCAATAGCCCGCCAAACTTTTAGACTAGTCACGTGGTTGTGCCTTAACACTTCTGGTCGCTTCAAGAGTCCGGAATGACTTTTTGATATTGGAACAATTTTTTAAATAACAATCTACGTCATTGTTTTTTTTCTTTGACGATGTCCGTCCTTTGCCTTACATAAATTGTCTGGAGGGCATAAAGATACCGGGAATTTCGGGAAAAGAGTACCAAGTTGAGATCTCAAGCAACTTTTTCATGCCCTTCCCACCCGACCCACCCCATCTCCGGGTCGCTTCCTGGGCCCTCTCCTTTGCAAGATTGTGACTTAGTAGCCAGGCCCTCATCACATATTGCGGCAGCCTCGAGGGAGATACAAAAATAGAGCCATGAATCTTTAGACAAATCGAAACAATTACAGGACGACTTTTGTCTGTCTGTGTGTACTGAATAGTAGCATGAATCATGGAAGAGCCATATGGCAATGGAGTAGCTAGCCCTGCATTTCAGTTACAGCTAGAACACAGCACGAGTTCCTCGCAAATGAGTCAAAAACATCCAACAAGTAAGCTCAAGTATTGGAATTACATGTAATGTCTTCGTAAACTCAAGACCTTCACTGGCCGATATTTTGAAATTTTAATTTTTTTACTTCCTTTTAGTGGCTGCAACAGCTAGTGAAGGGAGACACGGTGAAGGGAGACACGGCGAAGGCGAAATTCAGTTTTCTCGCCTTGAGGCTCTACATGTAGACCCGCAAAAACGTGAACTGTTGGAAGCAAGATTTTCTACTCCTCGAGTAAGTGAACACCACGTTTTAGAATTTTGAAATCTGTTAATACATCTTGGGACAGTCCTCACAGGAGACTTTCACTCTTAGAAGAGTAGAAGATAGAGAATGTCTCGTGATTAGATATTCGTGGCAGTATACAGTTAGTATACATTCGACTGACAGCAACCATCCTCTTGACTCTGATGATGACTTCTACCTAGGTTCTCGAAACGTCAGTCATCACTTCCGTGTTACCAAGAAAACTCCTTCTCAGGAATTCACTCATTACATCTCTCAGTTAGTACGTGCACTACAACTTGTCAGCAACTTTTTTGTTCAAACCTCATTTTGATGTCATTTGTGATATGTTGCTGAACAGGTGTGCACAAACATGGAATCTATTTATTAAATTTACTTTACCAATTTATCCCCCAGAGTATCAATCAAGACTCTCAACACAGCAATGCCAGTGTTTCTTCAATAGCAAGTGATAAAGAATTTGAGGTAGCTGCATATTGTTCAGGTTATGTGGAGCACACTTGCATTTGCCTGGTACAGTTGTTATAAGTATGTGTTTGGGCTGTCATTATGAAGCAAAGATCTGACTTACTTCTCATTCAGTGAGACCCTTTCAAATTCTGTGCCCCTACTGACTTACCTATAAATCAATTATAGTGGAGATACAGGTAACCACATAAAGGTCTGTGACACCATGATAGAACAGGCTGTTTCCTTAGCCTACCATGTGAAAATGGACACTTCTGTCCACTAGAGTCTGGGATACCTTGCCCATTCCTATTTGGGTTGCAGCAATAGCCTCATTACTTTGTAGGTCTCTTTGTAAGAGGAAAAGGAGAAGGGAATGAACCGTAACAGAAATTGTCACCTTCTAAAAGCATCCTGGCTCATTGATCCAGGAAGTGAGAGTGAAGCTGACTCTATTCAAATCTTCTTCACTTAAATCCAAGTCATGTGCAAGTCATGGCATCATCCCATTTTGCCAGCCTTCATTTTCTGCAATTCTTCAATTTATTGCAGTCCACTTGAAAGAATGATTTCATCATGTACACTGTAATAAATGATTGTGTTGGTGTTTATTCTTTTATTCCTATTGTTATTGTAATTGCTTGAATACATTTGTAAGAACAGTATACACTGCAAAGTCATACTGGTCAATTTTAAAGGCCTGTATGTTACTTTTTAAAGTGTCTATGAAATGGCAACTAACTTGTCTTTGAACCACTGCTTCTGATAAAGCAAATGTCTGTTATAAATACAAAGCAAATGGTACTTATGTTAATTTATGCAATGTATTTGTAATTTCTATACAGAGCATCACACCAAGCCAGAGAAGTGAAAAACATTTAGGAAGAAAACGGAAAGCAAATGCAGATGGAGATTCCCCTGGTATGGCAAAACCATGTATGCTTTGAATTATTTCTTTAGACAGAACTGAAAAACACCTGTTTTTGTTCAAGAGTCAATTCTAGATTGAACTGATACAAAACTAGTTTAATTTTTATCTTCTATTGTTCCAAGTACATTACATGAATGATAGAAAATTTGTACTAGATTGATATCATTTTAACCTGGAACTTCTGTAGACTACAGCATACACTTAACAAGCAGTTTCTCTTGGTTTAACATGTTTGTTGGTCTGGAGAAAGTTCAGAGCACATTGTGAAAGGTCTTTTTTATTTCTTATTCATTGTAAGTTTAAATTTTTGAAGAACTTTATGATGATGAATTTTAGCTGTGCTTTGCAGGTTTTCTTAGTAAAAGTGGGCGCTCAGAACCAACAAATAAAATCACAGAGTATTTCAAGGTACATTAAGACACTTTCAATGTCTTATTTTCTTATACATATTGACTGATCTTTACGTTTGAAGTTGTTTATCTCATGCAGTTAAACGCAATTTAATGGGGTCAACAACAAAGAGCATCAGCACTCTCTAGTAGTCAGTGGTTATTATAACATAGCTAGTAAATTTGTCTAGTCAAATTCAATTATGCAAGTGTGCTTCATATTCCTATTGTTCATGCTCATGATGTCAGCAAACAAATCCCTCAAGAAAACAAATTTTCCATCGGGTTGAAAATGTTATAAGACAATTGGTTCATACATCAGCTGTGCATTCATCGAGATATGAAGCACTTGGGAGAGCAATCAAGAAGCTAGAGTTGCTTGAGGCTACACCTCGAGCAATTCTTACGCATCTTTTATAATTGTGTAGATGTGTCATGCTAGACTAAGAGGGATAAGCTCCAGCTGAATGGGCCACTTTGGTCTAAGACAAACTTAATCCTTTAACTCTCAGAAGTGATTTACATGTAACTTCTCCCTACAATATCTATACACTATCCAACAAACAGGTAATGAGATTACTCAAACTTATCAGTTAGAGGTTGTTATCATGATAGAACACCAAATTCTTGTAACTAAATTACAAAGAAATGTGTAACAGCTAAATGAGAGAATTAACGATCAGATCTTGGGATTTATAGGGTTAATATTTACTTTTTTACCTCTGAATACAGAATGAGAGTTCCCCAGCTCGACGAAGTCCACAGAATCTCTTACCATCATTTACATCTCAGGTATTGCTTCTGTTACCCAATGTACAATGGGCATATAGATGTAGATGCAATTATTGGGTTAACAGTTTGTTTGATGATTATATCTGTTCATTTAATATAGAACTGTGAAAAAGTTCACAAAATTTGGTGGTTCTTGAACAATGTACAGATCTATTTAAACAAAATAGAAAAAGTACAAAAAGTAAGGGCAGCCAAAGTTTTGTTTGAGTTATAAGCTTATATTGCTAAATGTAATAGTGAGGCTGTAATGTTGCAGTGAAAACCTTATCTGTCAAAAAAGTAGTAAGAGCATCTTGAGAAATGACTGGGCTTTTTTTATACATTTGTGAAGGGAACACAGAATTTTGTTATTGACTTGTTGAAGAAGGGAATTATTTCAAAATAACTGATAAGACCATTTTAGCACTGTTTCCATCAGATATGGATGTAATTCCTCAATTGCATTTTCAGTTTCAAGCAGATAGCAGTTCCACTCTTCCATGTCCATTGAATGTCAAAGCTTGTCCTCCTGAACCAGAGTCCGATGGATCAGATGGCATTGAGTCAGCTGGAATATTTGTTCACGAATCCACACAGGTTAAGAAGTCTAAAGTAAAAAGACATTGCACTAAAAAGAGGAATTCAAATTTTTTTTGCTTAGAGAATGGAGAACTTGATTGACCATTAGTTATGTGACACTAAATATAAAAGCATTGTTGTGTTATTTTCCAGCACAGTGTGCTTAGACACAAACTTCCACACTTTCTCTCCATTTTGTGTGAGTGAAATAAGGGGTATTAGTATAAATCTACTAGGTCACTGTCACTAATCTGATAGGGGATGCCACAGAATGTGTATTCTGTTCTACAAAATATCAGGGCAATACTTTAACTGAGAGCCCTGAGTGGTCAAAAACCTATTATTTTTATAGCACCAGTAATTGACTTGATTTTATAAAAGAAATAGACTACACTTTCTATAGATTTACTGGTGTAATAAACAACTTGAGATGTTGGGAGAACACCAAAAAGGTTTTGTAAATCACTCTCTTCCTGCTTGTGATTTATAAACTTTTCGTGTGTCCTCTCAACATCCAGCGTAGGTTATTACCCTGATAAACAGATAGAAAGAGCAGTCTATTGCCCCATGAAAGGGGTAAGTTTCTAAAGAAACAGTGGTGCCTTGTGGTGGGAGAGTATAACAGGTAATTTAGTAGTATCAACTGAATTTATAACATAAATTGGTCACCATAAAGAGTTTTAAAGCTGATGTTTCGAGTGTTGCTCTGACAAAAGGCTTATGTTCAAAATGTCAGATTTGAAACTCTCTATGGTATCAACTCCGTTGATGGTACTAAATTACCCTATCACCCAACAGATAAGTAGCCAGTAAAGTGGGCAGAAGGTGGCAGTTAGACTGAATTGTAAATGTAGCCTAAAACACTAGATCACTTGCCTTCAATTTCTACACCAGATTTTTTAATTGCAGTTCTTCTGGTTTTTGTTTTTGCAGACAAACCTGACAACTGAGAGGTTGAAGGTACAGTAACAAGTTATTAATTTAAAACTTCTCAGGGATTAATTTTCCATTTTCATCATTATCATTGGTATCAGGAAAATGATGTACATGTTACTTAAAATGAAATTTTGTTAGATGCACTATCCACATATGAATTAACAACACATGAAAATTTAGAAGGAATCATTACTTACAATGAACATGAAGATAATAATATATAATCCTGTGTAGCCATGTGCCAACTCTTCAAGCACCACAGACTTGTAAGTTATGGCCTATTGAAATTCAGATTACCAGTGATAAGTTTTCAAACAACCAATGTCGTATTTGTATGGCTGATCTGATTGCTATTATTTATGTGCTACAGCAGTATTTTTTCAAGAAATTTATAGTAATCAGAAAGTTAAGGTTATAAACATGTGAACTTTTTTTGTTTTGTTGCTTTTTTTCTTCAAACCCAACACTCATGCTAGGCTTCAATTTTGCACCCCCTGATAAGTTTGATTTGCAGTTTAATTTGCAAATGATATGAACAAAGGATTACAACTTTCTACAGAAATTGTGTAATTGTGTTGTAACATTAATCTATCTTTATAGGAAATGGAAGATTCCTTGTCAACTGGAGTTGCTTCATCTCAGGAGAAGGAGAACAAGATCGCAGAACTTACAAGGGTAAAACTCAAAGATTCTTCCAAATAATCATTTATTGTCATACAGTAATTGGGAAAAATTTCTGATATAAATTTCTTCTGATGGATCAATTCAGATCAGTGAATTGTGGTTTTTTTTTGTTTTTTGTTTTTTTTTTTTTTGACTGACATGTAATGATTACATTATCAAATAAACTCTGGTATTACAAGGATTTCCAGCCCTGAGCAGTAACAACACATTAAAAAAAAACCATATTAATTTTTACGAAGTGTTTGATATTGCCAATCAGCTGCTGACACGTCACATGCCTTTTGTGCCACTCTGTCATGTTGATGAATGAATGGCAAATTAGCCTTCACAATGCTAAAACACTGAAAAATTTATTACAGACAGTGACGTTCAAGATTTCCTTGAAGGGGAAGAAAACCAAAATACAAAAAAGAAAAACTTTGATAATTAATGGTGTTTCTCAAGGCTGAAAGTGAAAATTGACAACTGGAAGATTTTCAACAGGCTGAGTTTAGCTGTGTATGTGAAAAGATTTCTTCTGTCAATTAGGAAGAAGTCAGTAACTGAGAATTTTGTTGATTGAAAGTTACCCCCATTGTTTGTTTTTTCAATGCGTTTTTTCATCCTTGGCCTAATCAAGAAATGCATTATGTGACTCTTTCTAGGGGTGGATCCTATTTTTTTCAGTCATAAATAATTCGAAGACTTTTCTTGCCAATTATAGGGCTATATTGTGTTTATACAATAAACCAAAAAACGCAAGTCTTGGTTGCTTGTAGATATGAAATTTCTCTTCTCATGTTCAACTTGATATGAGTGGTTGATGAAGTTGAACACTTGAAGATGAATTCCATATCCATGTATGCCCATGTAGTATTCCCTATTTTCATGGTAATTGATTATAATTACAATAAAGTTATACACAATGGTCAGGAGTTGTCATTTTTATTTGCGGTTTCTCTGCAGTTGGTTGATGATTACAAAAGCCAAGTTGATGCTCATCAGGTACATCCAATTTCCACTTTTTATGAACCATTTGTTCAACAACTACATGCGTTTAATGAAACAGAAAAGAATTGGCACAAGTCTTTGCAGCTGCTGAGATTGAATAGAGCAGTAAAAGTATAAGATGTAAATCTTTGTTTCCCATTGGATTTATATACAGTGTACATCTTGATGTTGTTCTTTTGAACCAAAATTCCAGAAAACTTTTGAGAAGGTGAAAGAAAGTCTTGAGAAGTGTATGGAAATTAACAAGAAGTTGTTAATAACAGCGGTAAGTTAATTAAGAGAATTTGTTCTATTTTTTATTTCAACCATCATCATCATCATCATCATCATCATCCTCCTCATCATTATCATCATCAAGTTTGTAGTTCTTCTCTTTGTTCTCATCAATATAGCTATTTTCATTTTCAATGACCAATTCAAAGTTAGAAAGCATTTATTGATAATTTGCGCTGAAAATGTATTTTCTGTTTGTTATGATTCATGTGTACCTTAGGAAATGCCACATGGAAGATTATTTGTCCAAACGTTAACATTTTTTTGCATTTTCTTTGGGGGCTTAATAGTCCACCCTTGAAAAGAAAGCCGGCCGAGAGATGTGCATGAAGAACAGATTGAAACTTGGTTATTTTGTTCCTGTGAGGTAACTGAAAAATTATGTAATATTTTATGTTATTTTTTCTCTTTGTACAACTACATGTAACTTCTGAATAAATTATTTCTACCACCTAGGTGAATTACATAGACCCATGAATTGCCTATAAAATTATCAGAAAAATTCCAAGTGCATGATACAAACAAATAAATGCATTACATTGTAAGTTTAAGTCAAACCTAAACTGTGCACCCTCATGGTAACAGCAATGGCTATAACAATCACTGGCAATTTGGTGACATTTCAGTTTTAGCCCAATGAATGTATGGTTTGTAATTTATTTAAAGAGACCTATAATATATTTTTTGTTATTTCTAATATTATTCAGTGATCTCAGCAATAAATTTGCAAAGTTATAATTTCTGACATTATCACATTTAGCAGAAATGAATATGTACTAGGCTTGTCCATATATTTTTAAATTCTTAACCCATTAACTTCTAAGATCTGACTGCTAATTCTCCCCTCTAGCTATGACATATCTCCTTTTAAATTAGTTACAAGAATTTGGTGTTAGATCAAGACAACAACTTCTACTTGATATTTGAGTATTCTCATTACCTGTTTGCTGGATAATGTATGGAGACTGTAGGGAGAAGTTAGATGTTAATCACTCCTGAGAGCTAAAGGGTTAAAATGCTGTTGCTGTATATATGTAGTTAAGTTTAAATCTGCAGCAAGCTGTTTTAGTTCTGTAAGTCAATGAAAAACTGCAGTAATATTTGTCTATGTGATTGGAGTTACTTATTTCCCTTCATTTGTTATTGGATATTCAGGCAAGGAGTGTCATTTGTAGAGAACTGGGTGGATGGACATGCATTTAAAGAATTGACAGTGTAATTATCTCTTTTTTTCTTACACCATTGTGATTTCTCTATCACTTGAATTATACAGCCATCCATTTTGACTGGTTTGTACCAATGATCTAGTGAAGGACAGATGCATTGCTGACAACATCACCATTCACTGCATTTTGCTTTTCATCATATTAAAAAAGAGATTTCATGTCCCTGCGTATCTGTTCTGGGATATAGATCACAAAGACCTGAAAATGTGGTTTAAGAACATCAGTTACATGCTTGGTAGCTTGTTGTGTGCCACTTTTTTGTTCTTACTGCTGTATTTTGATGTTGTCTCTGATACACTACTGAAAAGATGCACGGCAATATGGAATCTTTTTGTTGGAGAGAAAACATTTTTTTGGTTCATATGTCAATTGTAGTAACTGAGTAGTCTCTTAGTAAGAGCTTTTCAAATGCTTGAAAGCTTCAAAAATCAACTGATGCACAATTGAAAACATGAGTCAGTTATTAAAGACATTACTGATGTTGGAATCTGCAACAAATCATTGGAAAACTAACAAATTTTAAAAAGTTCCTTATTACAGTTTCAGCTTTCAATTTTTTATTCCTGTTTGTCTTTTTGCAAGTCATAACCATCAATCAGTTGATAATTAACATTTGCAAGGTTCAGAACAATTGTTATGAAAATTAGAATGAGTAGTATTATTAGTTTTACTCTTACTATTATCTACTATCTTATCTTTATTTTATTTTACAAATACTGATGAAATACCCAGGATTTTTCCTTTTACTGAAGGATCATATCTTCATTGCGTGCAGTGAAGATACTATTTTTATCTTTCACATGCGAGGATATTGGTGTCGCCATGGTTACTAACATGATTAGCCAATTACAAGAGAGCTTCCTGCTCAGGCATGCAGCTGGTTCTTTTGAAATTTCATCAGTATAAATAAAATAAACAGAACATAACATGGCCGCTTGGGGATACAAATTTGATCTGCAAGTGCTGAAAGTATCTCTCATGATTGAACAAAGCGAACAAGTGAGAGATACTTTCAGCACTTGAAGATAAAATTCATATTCCCGCACGGCCATGTAATATCCTCTATATCTTTATTCTTTGAAATTTTTTAGTCAGCAGGAAAGGATCAATCGACAGAGAGAAGAATTAGAGAAACAGAAAAAAGCTTTGGCAAAAAGAAAACCTGTTTCAAATACCACAAGTAAGTTTACAAACCAAGTAGATACATATTACTAAATAGTTTATAAGTTTACAAGTGTTCTGAGTTCTAACTTGTATTTTTTAGGGGGCAACGTTTTCAAATATGCAATGAATGCTTCAATGTTATTTGATGATAACTTGAAACTGATAGAACCACAAATTATTGTGTATTATCCAGAACTCCCAGATTTCCTTGTCTTGTTTTTTGAGAGTTGAACCAATTTTGTTTCTAGTTATAATTTTTAATGAAATTTCATTCAACCTGTGGGTGAAAATCAAGTAAAGAAATTATCGTTGCTGGTGGAAAGCGATTTTAAGCAATTGCAGCAAAAGAGCTGGGGAAAAAAATTAGACTTTGAACCCCTGCCTCCTCCTGAGGCTATTTGGCTGCTATTACCAACTGATTTGCGAAGCCACACCTTGGGAGTGAGGCAAATTTTATTTATTTAGTTACTGTTATTTTGTCTTTGTATTAGTATTTTTCTAACTTTTTTCCTTTGTAGTTGGATCTAGAGAGGATCTTAAACTTTTGATTAGAACAAGGGACAGAGTACATTAATTTAGTTGAATACTTTAGAACTTTAGCCCCTGCTTAAATTGTTTTTATTTTATAGATATGAAAGAAAAAAGACCATCTAAGTCAGCCAGCTCAGATGGTGATCAATTTGCAAGACCAACATCACCTGTGTAAGTACAGTGTGTTTATGTGGAGGACATCTGTAAAAGATTGTTTGCCTTCAATAGTTGTAGCTATCTTGGGAATCACAGAATATATTAGATACATCTAGTTGCTAAAAAGTAGAAGATATACATCTAATTAACTATTAATAAGGGTAATAGGAGCCAGTTGAGTCCTATTTGGTCTATAATCATACAAGTGATCAGCAAAATTGGATGACCATGAAGTGGGAGTCCAATTTGTTAATCACAACTATGATTACAGACAGAATTGGATCACATAAGTGCTGTTACCAATTAATCATAACCGTTACAATTTTAAAGTCCCAACTCAAAACTCAGTTCTCAAGTCTCAAAAGTTTTGAAAGTCAAGAATCAAGTTTCAAGGTTTAAGGTTTGATTTTCCAGAAGCAAGTGTTGAGTTTTTATACATCTTGATCTACATTTTTTGAGGAACTGATTTAATTATTTATTATTACAGCAAGATAATGGCAAAGGACAAATTGCTTGACACACATCTTCCTTTATGACACAAACCACTGTCTACATATGTAAATATTTCATTTCACGGCTGTGAATTGAAGCAATCCATCCACCAGAAGCTGCCATAGGTGTATCATGATGTAGAGATTGGGACAACCTCTACCAATTGAACTGAGCTAGCTGATTTTTGATGCTTCTTACAGAAGTTCTGAATCAACAATGTTGTACATGTACAGTCATTATTGAATACCCTGTTAAAACATGCATCTGCTCTACTATATAAATATTTAGGGTTTCTTAACAACTTAATTATTTTGTTTTGTATTCTCGTATTTCAACAGACTTTCTCCAATGGAGTACCATGAGAGAGAGGAAATCTTAAAACTCAGGGCAATAGCGCTGAAAAAGGTACCATATTCTTGAAACTGATTTTTAAGGAAATGTTTAGCAATTAGGGGTGAATTAACAGTCACATCCTGGGATTTCAAGGGTCAATGCATTAAATGGTTCGAACCCAGGTGTGCGATGCGATCATATTGTCTGTGCATTTATGCCTGTAATGTTACTTATCACGCGCACTAACTCATCGGTTCACTGTGCATTTTGCGCTAGCTGAAAGCAAGGGTTTTAAAACTTGAAAGAAGTATTTCAGAGGCGCTTGCCTATTCGCCTATTTACGTGATTTTATGCGCAGTACAGGAAGCGCAGTGCTATACTGAGGAATCACCTGAAAATATATTATAACAGTTTGGACTCAGTACTTGTTTAAAGGTTTCGGACACACAAGGAGGAAGTTCTTTTCCATAAGTGAGAGCAGGAACATGGCTTGAATTCCTTTTGTAACTGCTTGTATATTTCATGAGCCCAGACACCATGCTAGAATGAATACACCTGTTAATACAGCTGTAATTTGATATTGTCTGTACAGGAACATGTATATTTTGTACAGTGTTTGCATCTTGGTCTTTTTTGTGGCCTACGAGAGCATAACTTGTGCAAGTATCGAAATGTTATCCAGTGATATTATCTTTCGATCTACATCAACCCTTTAGTTCCCAGAGGTGATAAACACGTAACTTGTTCCTATGATATCTATACATTATCTAGCAAACAGGTAATGAGAAAACTCAAACGTATCAGGTAGATGAATAGCAGCTCGAGGGGAGAATTAACAGTCAGATCTTGGGAGTTAAGTCAGCATATTTCGATAAAATGATGCTGACATGTGTCTGTTTATTTGCATCTTTCAGGAGGAGACCGACCTTCAAATGGAATTAGAAAAATTGGACAGAGAAAGGAATCTTCACATTCGAGAATCCAAAAGAATACATAATGAGGATAACTCAAAGTGAGTCAGACATTTGAATAACCTCTCCAGCAATATATCACGATTGTATTTATCGATGATGTTATCGGAACGCTTGTCGATTGAGTGTTGTAAAATCAAAACTAAAGTTGATGCAACGACCAATCAGAAGAAAGGAAAATATCCTTAGGAACCAATGAGAACTCAAACAGAAACCAAGCAAACTGCCCAAAGCGCGGGAAAACGCGGGTGACCAAATCGTGATTGGCGCTACATTTGCATCTGATTGGTTAAGAAGTTGGAGCGGGTTTTCTGGAAGAATTACAGAGCGTAGTATAGCAAGACCAATGCTGTCTTGGACTACTTTCAACACTCAATTTTATATAGGCTGCGTACATAATGGCTCTTTCGGCACTAAATGGAAAAAGAAGACCGCGGAGCCGCCTAAACGATCAGTGGAGCCGCAGGTTGTAATTCACTGAACACAGCAAACGTATGTGTGATTAGGTGTGGATTTTTAGTTTTGTTGGCTATGAATCATATCATTTTATCTCAATAATTTCCTCTTACTAAATTATGGCTGACTTGTTTGAGAAGGCGTATTTTTAAACGCTCAAGCCTGGTGTATCTGTTGAGTTTCTGTTGGAAGTGTCTGAGAAGATTAGTTTTACCCTCTTTATGGATTTTAACGCAATTAAAACACGGAGGACGCTGGTGGCAGACGTTGAGGTGAAAAGAAAATAATAATGAACAAGTCATGTGATGTAATCAATAACCTGTATTACCATTAAGTTTTTATCATTTACAGGTTTAAAAATCACCCGACCTTAAACGAAAGATACTTGTTACTAAATTTATTAGGAAAAGGAGGCTTCAGTGAAGTTTATAAGGTAACGTATTTTAATATTTTAATACTTTAAAAATGACGATACCAGTGGACACAATAAGAGTGATTAACATCTTACTTCTCCTTACAATATCACCTCTAAATCATACAATAAGGTCACGAGAATAAAGGCTACGATCACCAAATAAAGAAGCTCTTGATTGTTAGATAAATTCTCCTTGTCAGCACCTTTGGAAATGTATAGAGAACAGTAGGGAGAATATACTTACTGATATTAGAGTGTAAAGGGTTAAGGGGTTTAATGAAAACACAAAAATTCTTGAAGTGAAATGAGTTATCAGGTGCACTATCACCCACCCTTAACATAGCTGTCCTCATAATAATTTGTTCATTGAGTCAAGTGAAGAGTTGTGTTCCTGTTCCAGGGATATGATCTCAAAGAGCATAGATTCGTTGCGTGCAAAATACATCAGTTATGTAATGACTGGAAAGAAGAAAGGAAGACAAATTACATCAAGTAAGTTTGGAAGCGTTCAAGCTTGCTGGCTCATCCTCCTCAAATTAATCCTTTTTCCTGTTTCACAAGGTAAAAGCAAGGAAGTATTTTCACTTTCCCTTGATGAGATGCTTATCTCAGTATACCAGATTTCCCCAGTACTTTTTCAGAGAATCCTGACAGTTCGCCGGTCCCCAGCTATACTCTCAAGTAGAGTGGCATTGTGATCGTAAAGTGCTGTGCAAAACGTTTAGTAAACTCGTCCTAGAGCGTGATGACAACTGTTAACAGTTATGTTTGTTACTGTTTTGATTCGTTTTAATTGTTAAGTTTCTTACATGACGCATTCAGAAGATGCGCTTTCATGAACCTTACACTCGAACCATGACCGACTCCTTCAAAATCAACTGCCTCCATTTTGGTTATTTTACTTTAGAAGTATGGTCTCTTTTACAGCAGTTCTTGGGAATGTTGTGCGACAATCCCGCTAAACTCATTTTTAACTGTTTCGATGATTTCCACAGGCATGCTCTGCGTGAATACAATATTCATAAATCTCTTGACCACCCTGTGAGTACTTTTAATTTCTGGTTTTTCCGTGCCATGTAATTTATTTTCAAGGAACTTTTTCGCGACAATTTAGGCCATTTTCTGTCTCGAGCAAAACTACTTTCAATTTGAAGGAAGAATGAAAATAGCAGCTTGATAAGATAGATTGTAGCACAGCCTTGCAAAAGCGCGTGCTCTGATTGGCTAATAGGAACAATTTGCCCGAGGGTTACATGTTGTCGCACGGTCCGGAAGTTTTACGCGCCATTCGCAGCAAAGCGGAAAAAAAACAAACCAGCTGAAAAAAAAAGTTATTTAACGGTCCAAATCGGTGCGTATGGCAAAAACTCTGCCCTTGGTATTGAATACTGCTCTCGGCTGTCGGCCTCGGGAAGCATTCAGGACCTCTGGCAGAGCTGGTTTTTCCTAAAGGGACCTTCCACACGGTAAATGAAATATATCTGTCTCCTCGACGGCAATGTTACTTTACATTATTTGATTTTACTGAAGCTACAAATTATAAAACTTTCAATGAATTTTAGGTGTTCACTTATTTTTTCTTTCCTTTCAGAGAATTGTTCGCCTCTACGACGTTTTTGAGATTGGGCAACACTCGTAAGTTCTCATTGCCGTAAACAAAAAACAAAAAACAAAAGACAAAAAACAGAAAGCAAAAACAAAACAACAAACAAAACAAAAAAGAGATTCTTTTTTTTTAATATTTGATTAAAATCGCGTCGATGAATGTACATTACGCAAATGAAAACATAATTTGATTTTTATAGTCCTGTTTTAAAACTCCGTTTGTTGTTACTTAAAGTTTCTGTACCGTTCTGGAATACTGCGATGGAAATGACTTGGATTTCCTCTTAAAACAACATAAGACAGTGCCTGAGAGAGAGGTAAGTTACGCAATGTAACACCACATTTGTTATGGTGATTAAAGCAAGTGAACCAAGTTTCCGGTGGACAAAAAGTTCGCAATCTGTAGCTACAAATAGTTGATTAAATTCTTTATGTTGTTTAAGGAGCTCATGAAATGAACGAAATTCAAGCACACTTCAGCAACGTTGACACAGAATCTAATTCACCATGTCCATATTTCATGGATGTTACTTAAATGTTTTCGTGGTAAATTTCTTCCTTAACGGTCTATCATTAGTTTTTATGGCAGAACCAACGGCCACATTTGAGAATTCCAAACAGAAGAATCCTTTGTAATTTTCTCCCGTTGATACGGCCATTAGTGCTAAATTTACAAAACCGGCGGCTTAGTAGCCGATTTAAAAAAGGGTTCTATATACTGAGGGAAGTTTGAAATTGTTTATCAAAAAGAACAGTTGCGCGGGCCTTAAAGTCATGAAATTTGACCCTACCCCGTTAATACGGCGAACCCAGTTGATACAGCCAGGTTGTTTTGGCCCGTAGGCGACTGTACTATCGGGGTTTTACTGTAGTAGCAACTGATGTTCTTTTTCCACACAGGCGAAGTCTATTGTCACGCAGGTATGTTGTATTTGATGGCTTGTTTTTGTTTTTGCTGAGGAAAAGTAAACTTAACGTGATACAATAGAGTTTAAAGTGTCTAGAAATTTGTTTTTAAATACTGGTGATGTTTTATTGCTGTATTATTGCCACATTGCTCAGTACACGTGCGTGTTGTCGAACATGCAGATTAGCACAAGTCGTTAAAATGAGTTTAAATTTGGTGCTAAAAATGTACCAATAGTAATAACAATCGAAAAACATTTTGATGACTTTGTTAGTTTGTTGATTTCAGACTGTAAGTGCTCTCAAGTATTTGAACGAGATCAAACCCCCAGTCATTCATTATGACTTGAAACCTGGTAAGAAATGCGTTGTGTTGACGTCAGTAATAGCAGCCTCGGAGGCGACCGAAAATGACAAAGTCGCAGCTTCCGCGTATTTACCTCTGAGTGGCTACAATAAGTAAATACAAAACAGTGAATAGCGTTTAAGACGCGCTTAGATTTGCTACTCAAACTCCGAATATCCTCTGCTACTCAATTTCGAGCAACTCGAGCAGAATTTGCACCCGAAAATATTGCAGTTGTTGCGGAAACAAAAGAGTTAGAATCCTTCCTTTTATGTGGAATATTATCTCACTAAATATCCACCATTTGTCGTATCCGCTTCGGTGAATAGTTGTTAATCGGCGATAAAGTTTGGTGACACATTACAACTTAAACGTGTAAAGGTAAGAGCAGGAGCGCTCCTGGTAAGAGTCATTACTCAACAAGTATCTAGTTTACTAATTGTCTTCTTGTTTTCTCAACAGGTAACATTCTGCTGGTGGGTACCGGCGCACTCAGTGGGGAGGTGAAGATTACAGATTTCGGTCTCAGTAAAGTAATGGATAACAGTGACGATAGTATGGATCTGACCTCTCAGGGGGCCGGTACCTACTGGTACCTCCCCCCCGAGTGCTTTGTTGTCGGAAAAGAGCCGCCAAAAATCTCCTCCAAGGTAACAAGATATATCAGTCGAAACTTGTTTAAGAACTGACTACCGGGAATTTGTAATTGTCAAATTTTGGTTTGGGGGGAAATTTTTACTGAATAAGGTTGGTTCTATGGTAGAAAACGAGTGAACAAAGAGGGCCAAACTTTATGTGGCTAAAACAGCAGGTGAGTGAGTCTAAGCGGAGTACCAGAATGGTGGTACAAGCGCGTAGGGAGTCTTCTTGGTGTGCTTCTTTCGAACTCCTGTGTATAATTTCAAAGGTTCGGTCAACAGGTTTGTTTAAGACTTATAGTACATATGGTGATTGAGGGATAGCGAGTGAGTAGTGAGACACTATTCCAAGGCCTATCAACCCAGGATGAGTGTAGTAGAGGCTGGAGCGAAGAACCGCGTCTTCAGTTGAAGACTACATATTCTTATCCATGTCTTGCAACAGAGCTTGAAGGGATGGAGAGCTTTAAATCGCGCGCGTGTGTGAAACAACAACAGCCCCTCGACCAAGACGGAAATTCTCCTTACATTTAAAAAACAATACCAAGCAGACAAGTGATGATGATAAAGAAAAATGTCAACTAAGGGATTATTAATTGATCCAATACCAAAATCTCCGAACTTACATCATAAGAATTGTTTGGCGGGCAGTAAGGAGAATTAATACTGAGATCTTGGGGGTGAAGGGGTTTAGTTTAGACACCTGTTGCAAAGAGACAGTGATAAGGAGAAAATCTTCTGCCTCACGTTTCCTTGAAAGACAACGAGTGGTTTCCGTTTTATTTTATTGATTCGATCAATTGCAGTGATGCCTCTTTCTCAACAACTGTTCGGATGATTTTGGTGTATTTGATATACATTTTGTTCTTTTTTTCCTCAGGTGGACGTTTGGTCAGTGGGAGTGATATTTTTTCAAATGCTTTATGGAAGAAAGGTAAGTCCGTGCCTTGTTGTTATCTGTTGCAGCTAATAAGATGATCTTACATATAAATCTTATTGAATGAAATGCGCTCTCTTCATTAGGCCATTTTACTTTTTATTGCGCTGGAGTATTTTTGGGTATTTTATATATATATATTTGTTTTTTCACAATTAAATTCTAATCTTAAAAGTTGTTCATTACAATTTTTCTTCAAGCCATTTGGTCACAATCAGACTCAAGCAGCAATTTTGGAAAACAATACCATATTGAAGGCGAAAGATGTCGACTTTCCCGCCAAACCTGCTGTTAGTATTGAGGCGAAGGTATGGCTCCTCAATAACTAAAGCTAAATTTAACAAGGTGTTTGTGGGTCAGTCAGTGTGCGCGTCACAGAATGCTTCAATGGACTGGTGCTAGAAAAATGAGGACGATTTTAAGTATGCATCCAAGATATAGTTTGTGAAATCGCCGACGTTGGTTTTCTGTTTACGTTCCAACTAAGTTTAAATTCCAAGCTAAATTAATTCCACTTGGTGCAAGAAACGCTAATACAATACACCAGTTTTATTCTTTTGTCAGCACTAAGCGTGATCTTTAGGATTCGCTTGCATCAACTTTCTCCTCCTTCTAATCCTTACGCCCCGCATTTCACCGGAAAGTTAGTTTGGTTTTTAGCTAAATTTTAAACTCAATCGGAATACGCTCAATAAATGACTAGAGAAAGCTGTCATGCTAAAATCCTGTCAGACCTCCTAGACAGTCTGTGTGTTTATTCCTTTCCTTGCCCGGCTAGTTTCAGTTATGAACTCTTTTCTGCTTCCCCCGGGTGTCTTCTGTAGGAACTTCTATTAATTGCCTCGAACAAGCATCGTCGTTAATTCAGATACCGTGTCTCTTTGAAACGTTCTTTCCACAGAATTTCATTCGTCGTTGCCTGATGTATCGGAAAGAAGAGCGAGCGGACGTTTTGACGCTATCAGAGGATCCCTATCTTAAGCCACCAATGAACAAGAAAAACAGCTCCGTGACACAGACGTAACACAACGCAATGACATTCGTAACGTGACTTGTTCCACGTGAAGTAACGCAATGTCAGCTGCCAGGTGACATACTCGGTGGTTACGGATGGTAACCTCAGACATTCCTTTAGAGGAGATGTCTCTAGCGGGCTAATCATTTGCGAAGAGGGTTTGATACGAACGTCTGCGGAATAAGATGACATATGAAATCAAAGAAATTATCACCAAGTGTGTGGTTTTTGAGCTTTACGTGAGTACATCCAGGAAGCCAAGAGAGTCATAATGATTGGACATTCAGTTTCTGAGCTTCAAAAGGTAGCATTTGTCTTAAACGTAGATGCCGGCGTTTTCAAATTAACTGTTTTCCTATAGTTGTGTTAGCTTTGTAAAAGTTCACTTTAAGCTAGATGATGTACACTCTGTTTCACTGAGTCTAATGATCTTGGTACGTTGATTTGTAAGGGTACGGTTAGCAACTTTCGTCAGCTGAAATTACATCGGCTCTTAATCGTCCGTATCTGCCCCGAGTAGGCCAAGCAAATGAAGACCGGAACTTAAAATATTTGTCGGAATAAGTATGTCCTTTAATGTTTTAATCAAATTAAACAGAACTACTTAAGCATATGAATCCTGATTTTTCGGGGTGTGTGTGTTTGCTACACATTTCCACTCTTAATGAGTACTCTCCTGTGAAATCTTTCGGCCATCTCACTCTATTGTCATGCCTCTATGTAATACGTGGAAAAACTAATGGAAGTGGTATAAAAATAAAGCTGATCCTTTCCCTTTCCTTTGGTATTATTTAATAGACAATTTCTGAGGTACATGGCATTTCGGCCTCAGCTGGCTGCAACATTTCTCATAATGCCATGTAACTCAGTAACTGTCCATTAAATATTGTTGTATTCTCGTCAGACTTCTTAGCCAAATCATCCGTTTGGGGAAAGCAGAACGACCGAGCGAGGCCACATGGGGATTTTGGTGGTAAAAGGGAGGATCTTCAAAATTTACTTTGTTGCAGTTGAACCTGTACCGCTCTCTGTGGGGTGAAAAACGGACCTCTGATTAAGGCCTTGGTTTTGTGCCTAAATTGTGTATTTATGTTAAACCTAACTCCTCTCCAATCATATAGACTCAGCGTTTTTGAGTTTATTAACTTTCAAGACATAATTACGTCGATATAACCTTCAATTATGACTTATAGTTCGGAAGTAATTGGGAAGTACTATTCAACTCCAAGCATCCCATTGGAAAAAATCGCGCGTCAAGAGTTTAATTTCCGAACATTTTTCGGTATATTGAGAGGAATACACGTATACAAATATTTTGGTTCTTGTGTGGTATACACTAAAACAATTATTCACCCTAGTGTCGTAGAAAGAGGTGGACATTTATTGTATGTAAATAAACTTATCTTGGCTTTGACTGTTAACCCTTCGTGAACCCGTGACACACCGTGATGCCTTAACCAGCGCAATATCAGGCAATAACACGTGAGTAAACAAGGGCTTCTATCACCGATATCTAAAAAGATCTACTTTCCTTTAAATGATGTATATCATTAACCCTAGAGACTTGAGTTTCCTAACAAATTTTCGCAAAACACAAATTTCCTCAACTGTTTGAGACTATTTACTTGTTACTACTGCATGTAAACGAAGGTAACGAATGGTCGGAAAATCCTGTTTGTGCACTCTCTGATCTTCTCCTACGGCTTTTACGGATCCGCAGGAGACCAGAAGTAAAACCAGTGAGAGTGCTTTGACCTATCCAAAGCGGTCGCAAGCTAGACGAATTATGTACCAAAATAATAGAAATTTCTCGCCTTATTCGAATATGGTGGTAAAATTGAGATTCGAATATGCGCAAGCTAGGACCCATTCTTGCGCGCTAACCGTGATACGACACTTCGAAAGCCTTCGAAAATTGCCTAATCGTAATTTTAAAAAATTAATTTGACCCATTAGATTCTAAAGCTTTGGTATTTCAAAATATCTTCTAACGTTACTTTAATATTCGTCTTTTAAATTTTGTTAAAATTAATCACAATCAGGTCTCAGCTTGGTCGCCGAGACTTGATATAAGCTTTTGTTAACAGTCACTTTGATATGACTCCTTCACAAACAGGCCCTCTGTTGAATTTTCTTCTGCCACGAAAAGTTTTTGGGGTTGACTTTTGTCTCGTCCCAGACTCGCAAAAATTAGTTCTTATATAAAAAATCTCATTGAATCAAACGCCGCAGAAATTCTCAGTCTTCGACGAAAAAAACCAAAAAAATAAAAGAAAACCCCACTGTTGATCACTTTGCGTATAGCAGATGGTAACCGGAAGACAAGCCCTACGGCCAATGTAGTCGGGTTGTTGTCCTCTTTATTAAATAACCAAGACTTGAAAAAAATTCATTAAAACCCTCTATAAATAATTGAATCGAGAATTGAAAATTTGAAATTGTCCTCGGCAGAGACGGTTAGGTGATCGCGAATCGAAGATTGGCTAATCCTAAAAATACATCCTCGCAAAAATTTCTTTCTACACGGAATCCTGTGTATTCTGGAAGATGAAACATTAATACAGCGTCAATTGAAGTGACCGACCACTCTCTCGCAATTTGAATGCGCTGTGTTCCGCTCATAAAGTGAGTGAAATATGCTTCGCCTAGACTAATTATATTCTTGATATCAACCGGACTTTGACAATAGCTCTTCTTGATAATAGCAAATTCCTAACCAATACATAACGAGAGGGAAACAAAAAATACTTTTTTTAACGAGATAAAATGTATTAGTCGAAGCAATGCTAAAAAAATCCTGCACAGAACAAGTAACATTCTTGAAGACCGAAGAGAAACGAAAAAAACCCGAATTTTTTATTCTTGAGCTAAAAATATTTTTTCATCTTCCTGAATATAAATTATTTTAGCTTGTTAATGACTCATACTGCAAAAAGTAAAGATACATCATTTATATTTATTAGGTTCTGTTTTTTCAATAGAGTGTAGATCTCAAACACTCATTTAAAAATGATTAATCTCACATGCTAAGTATCTACACCATAAATAGTAAAATTCACGCTTGCTTAAACGAATTTGGGTGAAATACATGTATCATCACGTCCAAGGAAGTTGTATTACGGAAGGAGACACAAACATCACGAGTTTTAACATGTGTTTATTAAATCAGTATCGTGGTGAAACTTAATGGCATCGCCGCCGGCCATAATTATATCATTATGCATGTTCGGTAAATAGCCGTTTTTTAGAATTGCAAAAATAATATCTTTTAATTTATTCACAATGCCATTCAATAAACCTACGACCTAATGAGTCTGTCCTTTCAAGCTGGAATTCGCTGTTTGCAGTTAAGGTGAGGTATTTCAGTTTTCAGTGAATTTTTGGATGTAGATAAATATCACAGATTTCCTCAAAAAAAAGGAAAATCCTAACGCATGTAAAGGTTAAATTGGGTAGATTCAAATTCGACTTAACATACTTGCGCTCCGTAATCATAAATTGCGCATATTAAACGCGTAAAAAGCTCCCACAGGATCTTCGTTTACCTCCAATTTCACGAAGTAATTTACTGGTAACGTTAAAACCCCGAAAAGTTTCTTTATAATCATATTTTATTCAATTAATGGCCGTTAGGTTGGTGTGGAAAGTAAATGCTTAATATCTGGATGCACGAGCATTAGCGCTTTTTCGTAAGTTCATTTTACTGCTAATGGAGTTGGGTTATTTATCATCATTACAAATTGTTTTCATTCCACAGTTCTTCTATGACCGATAATGAAAACAAAAAAAGTCATCGAGTGTTGGTTTGAGTTTTGTTTTTGCCATAATCTCAATCCAGTTAGAATATTACACATCCCGAACAAATTCTCAGCCTTTTCTTTTCTTCAATATGGGCAACTTTGCCGCAGCGGGCAGAATCGGCCGATTATTAAGATGATGAGATAGTTCAGCAAAATATTAGTTCATAGTTAAATTTTCATAATAAACCTTTTTCTCCTTTCCAACGTTTTAGGAACTTTATCTTCGTGTCATGTTTTTGCAACATAACTTGGCATTATTACAGAGCAATCGATCGTAGCTGCATTCATTTCCATTTGTAGTTCAGTTTGAAAAAATCTCTCATATTTTATTCTTTAAATTTTAATGGCACCAGTGTATACCTCAAATCGAACACGTATTGCAAGTTCAAAATTAAATGTTCGATTATATTTCAATATAATATGTCGCCATGGCGATAACATTTCGCGGTTTTGAGCTTTCATGTATTTACTGATAATTGCCAACATGACGCAAGTGAAATAAACGCAAAATTTTAATTTATCTTTTTAATTTACCGTCCCCATTAACCACTCTCAAAGACTGAATGTTTTTCATCCTGGGTGACATTTTATTGAAATGAAGGCTTTATCTGAAAATATACATTATGTTTCCACAAAACGGGCAATTTCGGCTCAGGTAAAGGTTAACGTGATCTAAATAAGATTTCTCTTTAGTTTTCTATACCAGTTATTGATATAACAGGTACTAATGATGCAATTGTCACCCTGTTTCCTTCAGCTTCTTTTACTTTGAAAGAAGCAGTCTTTTACCGAGGGAATGTCACTTGAATACCTTTTTCTCTGAATTGAATTTCCATCGTTCAAGAGACAGGGTAATGACCAGTCAACACCTTGTTACATGGTTATGTTCCCGTTCCATTGTTGTAGATACTGGTCTAAATGAATTTAAATTAATCAGTCGGAAATGCCATCTAGTTGGTTTACATTCGCAATTACCTTGAAAAACAATGCTGTAAATTACTTATCAATTACGCCTTGTTTTAAAAACCGTGAGTCATGATAAAAGGGTTTTCGCCCGCCATGGCGATAATAGCTCATGTTTGTAGCTTCGTATACTTCAGTTTAAGGTAATGGTGCAGTGATTGGCAAATTATGAGTTAACCAGCTCTGTTCACTGAGTAACATAAAAGCATGCTACACTCAAGTTGTGCGAATCGAAACAGCAACGGGTTTGGCAAGTGACAGCTGCCAAAACTACCTTTACTAAGAGGGAGCTAAATGATCACATGCGCCGGCCATTGACACTTCAATTTTTATTTAAAAACTCTTTGCAAATTAACCCTTCACCTTTTCCGGTTTTTTTTTTTCGTGTGTGTTCTTCATTGCCGGCTCTATGGCTTAGTCCAACCTAAAAAACTGGCCACATGCCAAAAAAAAGTAAACATTTCCTCCGATCAGTTTTATCTGCACAGACAAACCAATAGGACAATGGTTTTTTCCTTCCCTGTCTACGCAGATATGTATAAAACATGTTAAGAATAATTCTGTCTGCTTGACGTCCTCGGCACTGTCGCTTAAATGTCAAAGCAGAGAGAATAAGGAAGATGATAGATTTTGAGCTCGGTGATGAACAAGAGCAGGAGCGAGCTCCTGACAAGAGAGATGTTTATTTGTCATGTCACGGGTGTGGAACATAGAAAAACTCTGAGTCCCCATGAGGAATGGAACCTCGTAGTTCCAAGGATCTACTTAAAAGAGCGCGGAACCCAATGCTCTGGTGTGAGGTTTAATGTCAAAGTATGATGTCTTGTGTTAATAAAAATCGAGAATTTAGCACTGTGAAGCTATAACGTTTACATCTCGACATGAACAACCTCAATAATTTTCCATTTTTTTAAAGTCATTGAAAATAATCGACGTTTAGAATAAGAACATGGATTAGTTTGAATCCGGATTAACCCAACCAGCTCTTTCCTAAGGCGTTGCCGGACGTCCTGACCTTTAATTTGTTGACGTTGTCATCTCCCAAATATTTCCTCGAAGATTCTTTCTAATAAATACGTTGTTAACTGAGAACATAGTAAATCTCTAACTTTTCAGTGAAATGTTTTTGCTTTTATCGATGTTAGTTTGAGTGGACCACTTATTCCTGTAGTTTTTAAATTTTCACGAAAGGTTCCACCAGCTGGATTCTCTGCACATTGGGTTCGTCTTCGCCACAAGTAACCAAGTTTTAAATTTCAGGTGACCTCTATTTGATGAGATTGCTTATATTTTGAT